GATGGGTATATACATACATAATGAGTGTGATGTGCACCATCTGGGGGATGGACACACTTGAAGCTCTAGCTCTGGGGGGGAAGGGGGAAGAAGGCAACGAATGTAACCTAAACATTTGTACTCCCATAGTATGCTGAAATTTAAAAAAATTCATGACCTCATATTTTTCTGTGGTGTTATTGACTATAATCACGACTATAATCACCACGTTATACAATGTAGCTCTTAAACTTATTCCTCCTAACTGAAATTTTGTATCTTTTGACCAACATCTCTCCAATATCCCCAACCCCTGGTAGCTACCATTCTATTGTCTACTTCTATGAGTTCATCTTTTCTTCGATTCCACATAAAAGTGAGATCATGTGGTAGTTGTTCTTCTTTGCCTGGCTGATTTCACTTAACAATGTTTTCCAGGTTCATCACTTCTGTAGGAAACCAGAGCACACCACTGTCTAGGAACCATTCCAACTACCCTGGTACTCAACAGTTTCTCAACATATTTTATCCCATTTGGCTCCGATATTAGTGGATAAATTGAAATGACTTATAGATAACTATTTTCTTAGACTATTTAACAATCCAAAATATCTGGAAACTAATACATAAGGGGTTAATATCAAAATTACATAAGAAACTCAATAGCAATAATCTATCAAAAATGGGCAAAAAACTTGAATAGACATTTTTCCAAAGAAAACATACAAATAACAAGTATAAGAACAGATGCCCAATATCACTAACCATCAGGGAACTGCAAATCAAAACCACAATTGAGATGTCACCTCATGCCCATTAGAATGGCTATTATTAAAAAAATAACAAAAGATAACAAGTGTTGGTGAGGACGTAGAGAAAAGGGAACCCTTGTACACTGATAGTGGGAATGTAAATTAATACAACTGTTATGAAAAACGGTATGGAGTTTCCTCAAAAAAATAAAAATAGGACTACCATATGATCCAGCAATCCCACTGCTGGGTATTTATACGAAGGAAATGAAATCAGTATGTTGGAGTGATATGTTCACTGCCATGTTCATTGCAGCGTTATTCACAATACCCAAGACATGGAATCAACCTCAGTGTCCATCAGTGGATGAATGGATAAAGAAAATATGGCATGCATATATGTTTGTATGCACAGTGAAATACTATTCAGTCTTTAGATAGGAGAAAACAACATTGGTTTGTTTCTAATTTATTCCTTTCTTTATCTTTTCCTTTTTTAGTTCTAGAATAATTGCATTCTGAAGGGAAAATGCCAAGGCGTATTAAACGATGAAGTTTTGATTACTGAATGGTTTAGGTGATGTTAATACAAGAAATGTTACTATATTTAAAATCTTTGGGGAGCCCTCTTGTTTCCCTGGGTTTGATTCAAAACAAAGGATGGAAAGGTCTTACGTGATCAAACTGAATCTCTCCGGGTGAATCACATGTATAAAAATATTTTCCTGTATCAGAGGAATAGTCTCTCATAGGCCAGAAAAATAATAGGAGCTGAAATAGTCATGGGACATGGAAATTAGATGGAACGGTTTGAAAATGTTATAGTTCCTGGCAGTGCAGGCAAGATTATGGATTGAAAACAACTCAAGGAAGTTTCCTAACAATGTGTCACTAATCAGCATCTTCACACTGTTCAATTTCCTGCTTCCTTATGTATGAAAACTATTTACCGACCATATTCTTCTCTTTTTGGTAGAAGCCTTTACTCTCCCCACCCCACTCCTCCCTCCCTTTACATTACAGACTGGAGTTGCAAACACTGACCATGCAAAGTGTTTTAATCAGCAGGGCCCTTTCAGGTCAGAAGCAGGACAGAAGACCTTTAAGGGTGTGAATAGACATTTAGGAAACAGGAACTGGAGGATGACCAGTGAACCAGTTAGATCCTCTTGGTTACAATTAATAGAAAATCCTACTCATCTGATGAGCAAATTTACTATCTCACGAAACAGGAAGGCTACACGTAGCAAAGTCTCCAGGGTTGATGGAATCGCTTGTTCAAAGATAAGCATCATTTTTTCTGTCTCTCCAAACTTCTGTCCAAAGCATTAGCTTTATTCTAATGATGGGCACTCTCCTGGTTATAAAATGACTACAAATAAATGGGTCAACATGCTTTCTTATTCACATCCAATAGAAGCAAGAGAGAAATAGCCCGGACTCTGATTCATCTCAGGCAGGGGCCCGCCCTAAACCAAAACCAGCAGCTGGGGTAGAGGCCTTACACCAATTGAGTTGAGGCTGAGTTGAATGAATCAAGTTTTCCCTTTGGAGTTGAGGAGGAGGAGGATAATAAAACAAAGTTAGATATCTGTTAGGAAGGAGAAAGGAGAAATGGATATTGGGTTGGCAAACGACTATATCACACAGGGTGTTTGCTGACAAAATACACAAAATTATTCTAGTAATTAAACAATGGAAACATCTCAGGTAAGCCTTACTCCCATCAGTGCAATGACAGACCCCAGCTGATTTAGGACATAAAATTCGTTCTCCCATTTTACAGATAGGGAAACTGAGAACAAGCATGGCATGGTTATTAAGCATCAGAGGTGGGATGTGAAACCCAGGCAGCCCGGTTCCAGTGACTGTAATCCCAACCACTGTATAATAACTACTCGTGTTTCAGTGAATGCCACCCAGATGAGCCAAGAAATTTCCACCAGTCAATTCAAAGCAAACTAAGGTCATATAAAGGGAGCTTATGACTTATATCCACCACGCCACACAACACAGCATTGCCTATAATTACAACGCAGGAAGCACCAAGCAGCAGTGAGCTCCGTGGCCATAGGATGGCTAACGTCCCAGCACAGCACACATCCCTGGCAAAGCGTATGGTTATCCACACCCCTGACCTTCTCTGCGACGCGCCTCTGTAAACTCTCCCTGACACCTGTGGTTCCATCTTCCCATCACTTTAGCCAACCCAGTTCTCCTTGGCCCTTTCTTTGCAAGAGACTGACAACAGCTCACAGTGGCATTTGCCTTTAAGGCAGTGGTTCTCAACCAGGTTCTCTGTTTTGCCTCCAAGTGGACACTTGGCAATGTCTAGAGACATTTTTGGACCTCACAGTTGGGAGGTGGGGGGAAGTGCTCCTGGCATTCAGAGGGTAGAGGCCAGGGGTGCTGCAAAACACCCCACAATGCACGGGTCGGCCTCCCACCAAGAATTATCCACCCCAACACGTCAACAGTGCCAATGTTGAGAAACTCTGCTGAGAAGGAGGGCGTGTGTGAAGCACGTGGTAGAATTTCAGGCATCAGGTCATGGGGAGCAGGGTAGGAGAGGGTCTTCTACTTCTCCCCAAACGATGAGCATAGCCATGTGCCTGGCTCTCTGCTTGACTAAGTAATAAGACAGAAAAGCTATCTTGACACCTGTCTTCATTTGTTTCCTTGTGAGTAAGTAGTTTTGGGGAGAGGATCCATCTAACTTTCTATACAATCCAAATTCCTGGCACTGACTCAATTTTCCTTGTATATGCATAAAGGAAGAATGTTTATGATTTCTTAAAATGTCACTGAACCATATAATTATTACTTTTAAGGTCATCATGCAAAAATATTATTCCCATGCTGCGGTGGGAGCTCTTCTCCCCCTGGGCCTGCAGACGGGGTGGGGGCCACGCGCGCCAGCCCGGCCCGTGCCCAGCAGCCAACTTAGAACAGGTGCGGACCCGGAGAATCTGTTTAATTAAAACGAAGTATAGCAAAAGCGCATGGTGAATGGAGCTGTGGGTAAAGGGCTCGTGAGATCCAACCTGAGTAATCCCTCCCTGATTCTATTACCCAGCCTTTCAGCCCCTTTATTATGCAATTGCATGAAAGATTATACATACAGAATCTCGTCCCATTTACCTGCCTTTTGACAAAGTAATTCCAGTTGTAAGATAGTTGTCAATGGAAAAAAGCCAAACTCTGTAAAATAATTTTAAAGAGATTTATTCCGAGCCAAATTTGAGGACCATGACCCGGAGCCACTGCCAAGAGGCCCTGGGCAAGTGGACTCGCTGTGGCTGGGTTACAGTTTGGTTTTTATACATTTCAGGGAGACAGGAGTTACAGATAAACTCATAAATCAATACGTGGGAGGCACACATTGGTTTGGCCCAAAAAGGTGGGACATCTCAAAGCAGGGGCTTACAGATTATAGGTGGGTTTAAAGATTCTTTGGTTTATAATTGATTAAAGACATGAAGCTTTGTCTAAAGGCTTGGAATGTTTCAATGTAAGGAGCTGTTATCAGAGATAAGCCACCAGACATAGATTTGTTGTGTAAATTGAGGACCTTCAGGTTTGTCTTGCATACCCTTAGGCCTGTTAATGGGTTACAAAGGAAGTCTCCAAGAAGGGAGGGTGGCATGATAAGGCATGTCTGACCTCCCTCCTCCTGGCAATTTAATTTTTAGGATATTCCTTTGGCCAGGAGGAGGTCCATTCCGTCAGCCAGTGGGGAGGGGGTGTGTGTGTGAGCATTTTAGTTCACATAGTATAACAATTTAACATTTCTTTCAACAGCCACTTCTCACGCTCGGGCACATACACTGGATTACAATAACACTGTTCCCTTTTAGACATAGACTGACACTATAAGTTGGCCATTCAGCCAAGATTCTCCCCAAGGGGCTTTCAGAGGGAACTTCCCTATGTTGAAACAGAACTCACTAACAACAAACACAGACGACGAAAACAATAATGCCAAGGTCTTCCAACAAAGGGGAACCATCCAAATGAGAACCAAATTCTCAAATGAGAACCAACATCTCCTAATCCAAAGAGGAATGAATTGCCCATGTTCCCCAGGAACCATGCAAACAAGCTCCAAATCCAAACCAGGTTCCCCAGATCCACTCAACCGTGACCTCCACCCCCAAATCGCACCTCCCAACAAATCCAAACAAAGTGCCCAGCCACGGAGCAGGAAGGCCTGAAAACCTCCTAAACGAGTGGAATGAAAGGTCTCTGGAAGCACACCAGGGAACTTACTCAGACAAACAGCCAAGGCATCCATCCAGACGCGTCTCAAATCCATTTCCTTTTCCTCAGCAAAGTTAAAGCTAGTTGCAGCTGCACCTAATTCAGAGAAGAGAGAAGCAGGTATTCCTGGTGGCTAATCAGGCTCTGGCAGCTGCTGAGATGGTCGTTCACTCTCTTACCCTAAAAGGCAAAGCTCCTACCCACAGCTTGACCCTAGGGCCGCTCCCTGCCTCTTCCAGCAGTCTCAGGGTGCTGTTCCCCTGGGGTGCCAAGGGGCCCAGCCAGGGAGGCCAAATTCTGTTACTGAAAGTTTGTCACTTCTCCCCCAAGGCCGCATCAGAATAATGAGCATAAATGGTTTGCGGTGAAGGAAAGAGAAGTTTATTCATTTGCTGGCAAATGAGGAGAATGGCAGATTTGCATCTGAAAGTTGTCCTATTTATAAGCAGAAATACAAAGCTTTTAAAAGGCATTTTCATCTTGGGGCTATTGCTGTTCAATGATAGTGGATGGCCCAGATCAGTCCCATCTGCAGGTGAAGACTATCTCTCCACCTCTGCTCCAGGACAATCCCATTAAGCAATCACCTTTGGAACGAAAATTGGCTTTTATGACCCACTTGGGGGAATAGGGGGTCTGGTTTCCATGGCTACCCTCAGGGGGAGACTGGGACTGACAGGCAGGAGGACAGGGAGAAAGTAACAGAAAAACTTTTGCTTTTTTTTTTTTTTTTTTTTTGAGACAGAGCCACACTTTGTTGCCCAGGCTAGAGTGAGTGCCCTGGCATCAGCCTAGCTCACAGCAACCTCAAACTCCTGGGCTCAAGCAATCCTGCTGCCTCAGCCTCCCAAGTAGCTGGGACTACATGTGCCACCATGCCTGGCTAATTTTTTCTATATATATATATTAGTTGGCCAATTAATTTCTTTCTATTTATAGTAGAGAAGGGGGTCTCACTTTTGCTCAGGCTGGTTTCGAACTCCTGACCTCGAGCAATCCACCCGCCTCGGCCTCCCAGAGTGCTAGGATTACAGGCGTGAGCCACTGCACCCGACCAAACTTTTGCTTTTGAGGCTTTCATTTTGGGAGACTGATTTAGGAGCCTTATCACCCTCTAGCACATTTTCTATCATTCCATGAACACAACAAAGGGAGAATATATATTTGGGAAACAGTGAGAGAATTCATTGTTAGGCCCTTCTACTAAGAGGCTGGATTAAGACAGGGCATTGATTTGTCCCTGGTGCCTTTCAAACCCACTGTGATTTCCGGGTCCCTCCCCTAAACTACCTTCCATCCTCCCTTCCCCTGGTCATGACAAGCACGTGCCCATTTCTCTCTTGGCCTGCAGGGCTGACCGGCTGGTGGGAGCTTGGGGCTGGGGGCAGCATGGGAGGTTGAGCCTCCCTGTGAAGGCCAGTGTCTTGCCTTTGGGGGCAGGGGAGGAGGATGTGATGAAAGAGGGGCAGAGGGTCTGGGAATGGACGTGGACAGCACAGCCCTGGATGACAAGCTCCAGCAACTGCCTCCCGTGCCAGCACCTGTTTAGTGGATTTCACCTCTCAAGCTGCTTTCGTTTCCCTAGTTTTCTGCAAAACAACATGCCAGGACAGCCTGCCATGGCCTGTGAGCCAGAACTCAATGGCTGTGGAGCTGGTTCGAGTTCGAATTACCTCTGTTTTTACGTTACCTGTGATTTTATTCCACCTGTCTTGTGCTTCCCTGCCCAAAACAAGACTTAGCCCCTTTTCCAGGCAAGGTGTGCCTCACACACATGCCCCATCTCGCTGTGCCCATCTCATCACGGACCTCTTTGCAGGATGGCGCCACACTGCCAACTCTGCGGTCCCCGTGTGTGTGTTTGCCCTCGTCCCCCACATCCAATGGTCTTTACTTCCATTATCTCTCTCTCCTAAGCCCACTGCTGCTATCTGAAACCAGGCCCTCATTTCTTCTTGGCCAACCACTTAAAAAGCCGGGGCCTCTGGGAAATCTCTTTGATTCTGTGCCTTGTTTGTTCCCGTCTCCTTCCTGGAATGCAAGTGTGATGGCTGGAAGTCCAGCAGACGTTTTGCATCTTGAGGGTACGAGCTACAGATGGTCCCCTGGTGGTGGAGGAGAAAAGAGATGGAAGGAGCACAGGTGCCTGGTCACTTTCGGGGAGTTGCCACACCAGCCTTGGATTTTCAGCCTCCAGACCTCTTTTATATGAAACAATAAACTCCTATTTGTTTAAGACAGAGGTCACCAAACTGTTCTTGTAAAGGGCTGTGTAGTAAATATAGTAAATTATTTATCATGGTAAATATAATTTACCATGAGAAAATATCTCAGGCTTTGTGGGCCGTATGGTGTTGTTGCAACTGCTGAACTCTGCTACTGCAGAGCGAAAGCAGCCACAGACAACAGAGAACCAAATGGGCATGACTGCGTTCCAATAAAACTTTATTTACAAAAACAGGCAGTGAGTAGATGTGGCCTATCAGCCATAGTTTGTCCAGCCCTAGTTTAAGCCATTGGTATTAGAGCTCGGCTACCAGCAGCTGAATCCAGTTCCCACCTACATTAGCTGGCTTTGCTAAGGCTGCCAGAACAAAATTCCACAGACCAGGGGCTTAAACAACACACATTTATTTCCTCACAGTTCTGAAAGCTGGAAGTACGAGATAAAGGTGCGAACAGGGCTCCTTGTTCTGAAGCCTCTCTCCTTAGCCTGGAGATGGAAACTTCCTTACTGTGCCCTCACATGGTCTTTCCCCTGTGAGCGTGTGTGTACCCCTGGTGTCCCTTTTTTTGTGTCCAAATTTCCTCTTCTTATAAAGACACCATGTGAGCTTGGATTAAGGTCCATACTAACGGCCACATTTTAACTTAATCAGCTCTTTAAAAGTCTTGTTCCAAAATACAGTCACATTCTGAGATACTAAGGGTTAGGACATCAGTACATGAACTATGAAGGGACACAATTCAGCCTATAACACTAACCAATCCCGTGGTGACATTTACAGCTGTTTAACTTTGGGCAGTTATTTAGTCGCTATGAGTCTCTGTACTCTCATCTATAAAATAGGGACAATAAAACGTATTTTTGCAGGTTTTGAAGGAGAATTAGTGACAATGTGTATAACTAAAAGCTCATTTTTAGAGACCTAGATCACTCTTTTTTTGGCCCTTCCAGCCCCAGACAGAGAAGAGAGGTGGGCTCGCATGGAGCAGATGGCATGGGAGGACAGGCCAGCTCAGAGATCGGAGTGGCCATAGCCTGAGCTTTCTACAGGGGATCAGAGAAAAGCTGTCAGTGATTACACTTACCAAAAATTAAGGAGAAGCCAGAATATCTGTGTCCCAGAAGGAATGTGTTGTTAAGGAGAAAGAGGATCAAAAGATGGAATGCCGAGTTCATCTAGATTCTAACTGGATTAATTGGTCCTTTGTTCCAAATGACTTGAGTTTTATTTTTATATTTTATTTTATTTTTGAGACACAGGCTCACTCTGTTGCCTGGGCTAGAGTGCCGTGGCGTCAGCCTAGCTCACAGCAACCTCAAACTCCTGGGCTCAAGCCAGCCTCCCGAGTAGCTGGGACTTCAGGCATGCGCCACCGTGCCCGGCTAATTTTTTCTACATATTTTTAGTTGGCCAATTAATTTCTTTCTATTTTTAGTAGAGATGGGGTCTTGCTCTTGCTCAGGCTGGTCTCGAACTCGTGACTCAAACAATCTGCCCGCCTCGGCCTCCCAGAGTGCTAGGATTACAGGCGTGAGCCACCGTGCCATGTTATTCGCTGTCGAGAGACTGAGTGGTTTCCCTGTGGGTAGGAAATGGTTATACGAATGTCAACATCCCAGACTTTGGATAGGTGCCCTAGGATTAATGATTAGTGATCCCCCTTGCACGAACATGCCTTCTTTGGCCGAGAGCTGAGAAGTTTTCAGGTGGAGGACCAGCAGATTGATGGAGATCAGAACTAGAGTCAGTAACAGAAAATAGCAATAGCTAAGTTTCCACATCTGTTCATGTCAAAAATCCTGCCTGATGAGAAAAAAATAAGAAATTAATTTTTTTTAAAAAAGGAGATATTTGTTATTATACTCTAAGCCCTGTTGCAAACAGAATGTGGAGGGTTGAATTCACTTGCAAATGAAACTTGAGTATTAGAGTATGGTGACATTGGCAGTGACAATTTCTTTTGGCACCTGGGCTGCACAATATCCTTTTACTCTTAGGAAGTGTTGAATAATAGGCTTTCTTAGCGGCAAGTGAAATTCACCTCTGACCAGAATGACAGATTCCAAAAGCTGGGAGTTGGCTCGAGTACTCAACTGAGAGGAAGAACCAACATATTGAAAATTCGATTTATTTATGTGTCTATTGCCAAAACTATGAATTCACTGGGCCACATTTATTAAGCACCAGGATATTCTTTTTCCTAAAGGACCCCACAGTTTAATGGTGCAGACAGAACTGAATGTGATGCCGCCGCCTGCCTGCTGGGTGCTGGTTTGGAGAAGGAGGGTGACATCAAGATGATGGAACAATAGTCCCAGACCCGACCTCCTGGTCACCCCGTGGGGGACTCTGCTGCTGGACCCACCAATGCCTACCTACTGGCACCCGTGTGGCCACGGGCACTGCCCTAGTTCACTATGAAATCCTCCAGGGTGGCTCTCTGCCTGGCCTCAGTAGCACTGACCACGGTGGCCCTGCTGACAGCCTTCTCCCCTCTCACCTTCTTCATTTGTGGCACCAACCAAGTGACGCTGCTGCCAAGATGCAGCCTTTCCCAGTTCCTCAGTGGGAAAGCAGTCCCAGCTCTGCTTCTCTCCCTTGGTCATGGCCGAAAGGAAAAAGCAAGAAACAAAACCAGAGTCTGTTCCAGGCATATGTCATAGTCTTCTGCTTTTTACTTCCAGGAATTGAGAAAGCAAGGGACTCCTGGGTTTGGATCTTTCCAGCCACCCCTTTGGGGAAAGCTCCTTGCCATCCTTCCAGAATGGGTGGGAGATTGAGACAACCAGGCTTACACTACTTGCACAGAATCCCCTTATATTACAGTCACTATAGCAGACTCACGAGCCTGCTTGGTGTGGGTGGAGTGGAGAAATGTTGACCGCAGTGGCACAAGATAGCTGTGTGCACATTCCCTTCCAACAGTAAGGCATGTATTTTAGTTATACCTCATGCCATCATTCAGCAAACAAGTTTTGAACACTACCATTTGTCAAGAACTGTACTAGACAGAAGCTGAAGCTATTCTCACGTTTATTCAAAAACATTTACTCAATGCCTACTGGATAAATGATAAATGAGGCGGAGTCCCTGCCTACTGTGATCATAGTTTAAACCTCCATGAGGCAGGGGGAAGTCTCTCGATGCTTACAATGTGCTCATGTCTCTATTCATAGTTCTTGAGTCATATGTGAACCTGGGTATATTTACTGAACCTCCTTGAAAACTTCATGTGCTAATCAGTCAACATAACCCTGACCCCAGAAAGTTCTCATATACACTGTTGTATAAAAAAAAAATATTTTTAGGTATGGCATCATCTCCCCAAATTTTCATGCTTTAGGCACCTGTTCTAAATCTTTCCATGCAGTCTGGCATACTCGTCAGAGACGCTGACTAAACACCTAGAAAAGAAAAAGATAAGCTAAAGGAGTTAGATCAGTTTATACTATACTTCAGCTGATACCTTTTTCTTTTTTTTTTTAAACTTTCTCTTTGTTTAAAATTTCAGATTGTTCTCCTGCCTCTGGTGAGCAGCTTTATTACCATGATTTTGAATTCCTTGTCAGGGAAATCATATATCTCCATGTCACTTGTGTCAATTTTGGGAGATTTATATTGTTCTTTTATTAGGAATATATTTTCCTGCTTCTTCATTTTCTCTGGCACTCTATGCTGGTTTCTGTACATTATATAAGATAACTGCCCCCCCCCCCAGTCATGTCAGTGGTAACTCTATGTCTATTGATCGGTACTGGAACAAGTTTGCTCATATGTTGAGCTTCCCACCATTACAGCTTCCACCAAAGAGACTGCATCCTAAACCTCCTAGCTCTGAGAGGTATTAGACACACACAAGTCTTTCTAGATCACAGGAAAAAGTGGCAAGGTCTCATATCCACCTCTTTCTAAGATATTCACCCATAATAGTATATCCCAATCAATACATAGCTACATAAAATACCCATGCTACAATGTATCTTATTCTCTTACTAACATTTCTCCTTCCAGTCTCTGCTTTTCTCTTAACCTTATTATCCACGATCATAAGCTGAAGAGGGAGAATGATATAAAAACTGGTTTACATTTCAAACTATAGACCTGATACTGAAATTCATGAACGGAAAATCTGAGTTATAAATAAGTAAAGATTCATATTCTGATGAGATCGGGCATGTTCAAGATGGTATGATCGTAAACAGGATTCATATTCCGAAGCCCAAGACATACTCTTAGATCTGAAGCATCTAATATCCTATCAATATTTCATCAAGAAAGAAGCAGGCAGATGGAGGGACATAAAACAAGATGGAAGGAGAACTTTCATTAAATGATGGTCCAGTACCAAAAACTCACTGATATTATTCATTCATCCATCTAACAAATATTTTTTGAGAGTTTACACTAGGTCTGCCACTGAATAATATCAGTATTATCCCCATTTTACCTCTGAGGAATCAGAGCCACTGATTTAAAAGTAATTCAATAAAAAAGATATCTGCACCATTTGATCCAGCAATCCCATTATTAGGCATCTACCCAAAGGAATAAAAATACATTCTATAAAAAAGACACCTGCTTTCGAATGTTTATAGCAGCACAATTCACAATTGCAAAGATGTGGAAACAACCCAAGTACCCATCAATACATGAGTGGATTGATAAAACGTGGTATATGTATTCTATGGAGTACTACTCAGCCATAAAAAACAATGGTGATATAGCACCTCTTGTATTATCCTGGATAGAGCTGGAACTCTTTCTGCTAAGTGAAGTATCACAAGAATGGAAAAACAAACACCACATTTACTCATCATCAAATTGGTACTGATTGATCAACACTTATGTGCACATATAGTAACATTCATCAGCTGTTGGGTTGGGAAGGTGGGTGTCGTGTGCACCATCTGGGGGATGGACATGCTTGAAGCTCTGACTTGGGTGGGGAAAAGGCAATATATGTTACCTAAACATTTGTACCCCCATTATATGCTGAAATAAAATAAAGAACTAAAAAAAAAGTAATTGACCCAGTAACCACAGGATTTCAAATCAGATCTACATAAAGAAGCTCATGTTCTTTCTCTTATGACAAAGCATGGAAGGAAGTATTAATAAAAGAATATGACTAGGAGAGAAAGAGGGTGAGAAGAAGACTCCATTGATGAGCAATCACGTAGGCCCATAACATCCTAAGTCTCCAAAAAAAAAAAAAAAACTTTGATTCACATATTAGCCAAAAAATGTTTTAATATACTCTATAGACAATAAATTTTCCACAATTTTCTACTTCTTCTAGTAGTAAAAATTTTTCTATGAATTCAATAATAAACAAATTATAAAGGCTTTATAGCATAAATCACTATGATTCCCAAAATACCCACAGGTTATCATTAAAATGACTTTATTAGTAATTTGAAAAGATGTGTTGTTATGTTTCATTAAAAAGCTATTTAATTATACATACTGACATTGTTAGGGGTGAAATGATTTCATGTCTAGGATTTTCTTCAAAATTATGTGGAGGTATAGAAGAAATGTGATAGCTCATCAGTTGATCATTAGTCAGGTGGATGATAAAAACAAGAGGTTTTTTTTTTTTTTCCTCCTTACACTAAAAAGTTAAATATTGATAAATAGACCACCATGTTTGGGCACAAATTTTCTCTCCAGGGAAATATTAAATATATTTTTCAGCACTTCTTCTACTTCTTTCTCATCCAGAGTCTTAATGTCTACCAGATCTATATTGTCCTTATAATTGAATCTTTTGGAGATGAGGGTGAAGCCCACCAAACCGTGAACCCCTTCTGGGGTCTGCAGGGAACACAGCGATGTGGTTTTAAACACGGATGTTGGAGATTCCTGCATGTACGTATTCACAGGCTCAAAATTTTCAATCGCTTGAGGTTCGAGAGTAAAAGAGTACATTTTCCGGTATTTGTTCTTTTCCAGGAGTTCAGAATTAAGAAATTCTTCATTTGGAACGTGCTGCTCTCTTCTGATTTGGTCCAGGTACCAGGTGCCACTCTCTTCTCTCAAGCGGAAGATGCAAGGCACCTGAGGCTGATCCTGCCCAGAAATCAACTCCAGAGGCTGCCACATCTGGAAGGAGAATCCAAACCCAGCATCAACAATGTACTTCTTGCTACCAATGGTCACCTGCAGTACAAGGTGAATCATGTTACTGCTGTATTGGTCGATTTCAGGTATGTAAACATACCCTCCAAACGTGGTGGTCTCAAAACCGATTGTGCGCAGAGCCCAGTACAGAAGTTGATTGACCTGGAGACACCACCCACCCCGGTTCTTTCTCACAACTTGATCAAAAATGGCCTGTAAGCCGAACTCCATGGTTTCCCCACAATGTATGTTAAGGTTCTCAAAGGGAACGGCCCGGATGTGGTGCTGAAGAATGTCAGTTAGTGTTTCCAAGTCCAAGTTCTTCCTAGAGTTCTTATAACCAATTCTTTCAAAATATGCTTCAATGTCCATGATGCCCTAAGCAAAGAAAACAAAGGAAAGATGGACAGTATTATTTTTGCACATGGATTTCTTTGAGTAGCCTAATTATAGGTATAATGTATTTTACATATGGAAAAACACTCTATGGTTACAAGTATCTGTATTAATAACTCCTCGTTTAGTACTTTATTGTACAAAATCCTTTCACATGCACAAGTTCACTTAATAGTCTCAGAACCCTGTAAGGAAAGCAGTATCATTTCTTCTATCTTCCAGGCATGAAAAGCTGGAAATCCAGAAGAAATGATGAGCCACATGATAAATAGCTTGTTTGTGGTTTTCTTGGTAATGAATAAAGAAGAGATTCCAGTTGGTATCAATTAAGTAGCTTTAGAAACGGACTCTGACATAAGCAGCAGAATTATTTAATAGAGGACATGGTCAACAAGGTACACGACCCACGTGATTTCCCCTTTCATTGAAACTTATACAGTCAAAGCTCTTCACTCGAAGAATGTATTGGTTCACTCATTAATTGATTGATTCATTCAATAAATAGTTTACTGAATAACAATCATGTGTTTGCTACAGATCTAGAGCTTACTTGCCTGCAAACACCTTACATTTTAGTGGGAGTTGGAGTGACATAGAGACTAAACTAAATAAACGAATAAAACATTCAAGCTGTTACATTGTGGTAAGTGCCCCAGAAAAACTGAAGCTATGGAAGGGGTTTGTAAATGCACAGGGAGAGCTTAAATGTCAAATAAGGTGGTTAGAGAAAGACTCACTAAGACTTTTCAGGATGCTACAGAATAAGCCCTGTGGATATGTATGGAGAACGTTCCAAGCAGAGGGATCAGAAAGTAAAACGGCCCTAAACTGGAACCTGTGTAGAGTGTTAAAGAAATTTGTAGTTTGTACCAAAGTTATTGGGAAAAAAAAAAAAGGAAAAAAGACACGTCTAGGAAGCCAGGGTGATTGGAGCAGAGTGAGTGAGAGGGAGAATAGACTGAGATGATATCAGACAGGTAACAGTCACCTTGGGGCCAGTGCTGGCAGTTTGATTTTACTCTAAGTAAGATAAGAAATCTAGGCCAGGCGCAATGGCTCACGCCTGTAATCCTAGCACTCTGGGAGGCCAAGGCGGGTGGATCGATTGAGCTCAGGAGTTCGAGACCAGCCTGAGCAAGAGCAAGACCTCGTCTCTACCAAAAATAGAAAGGAGTTAATTGGACAGCTAAAAATATATAGAAAAAAAAATTAGCCAGGCATTGTGGCACATGTCTGTAGTCTTAGCTACTCAGGAGGCTGAGGCAGGAGGATTGCTTGAGCCCAGGAGTTTGAGGTTGCTGTGAGCTAAGCTGATGCCATGGCACTCTAGCCTGGGCTACAAAGTGAGATTCTGTCTCAAAAAAAAAAAAAAAAAAAAAAAATAAGAAATCTAAATGAGAAAGGGATGGAGGGAGGGTTATAATTTGAACACTGTTTGCCATAATCAATGGGACATTTCCGGCTACTGTATGGAGAAGAAGCTGTCCATATTGAGCTCTACGGACAGTCACAGAAACTAGGCAGGACACAGTCAAACACATTTGCACTAGGACCAATGTGTGGCTCAGGGATAGCGTGTCACATAAGGAGAATAATGAGACTTTATCGAGGGACTTTTGCTGACACCTAAGCACGTACATTCTGCTGCAGGACTCGATGCTGGTGAGATATGAACTCAGAGTTATTGGGGCAGAACTTATTGAACAAGACTAGCAAAGAACTGACTGAGTTGAGGGATGAAGAACAGGAGAAGGGAGGGTAAGGAAAGCCATCGATGAAGCCTAAAGCTATCTTTTAACTTTCAGGTAAGGTGAGCCAAAAAATAATAATAATTGCTCCTTATTTTATTTAATCCTTTTAGAAAAGGTTTTCATAACCTGCTATCAAAGAGTCTTAATCTACTGAGTCTTTCAGGCAACAGTGGTGCCCAGACCCCAAGACTAACTCCTTTGTAAGGTGGCACGTCCCGAGCATGACATAGTACAAAGGGACCTGCCTTAAATTAGTGGTGATAAATGAAGCATCTCTGTTTTCCCTCCTCCTATCATTTCTCTCATATTCTTTTCTTTCTGCTTTTGACCCAAATATCCTTCCAATATGGCCAGTGCTTCCAACTTCCTATGTCCATGAGGGCTGTAATACTATTTCCCCCAAATCTATTCATTACATTCATTTCATTGCATTTCTTCTCATCCTACCTTGCACCAGCATCTTTTCTCAACATTGAGCCAAGCTCTAAAACTCAGGCATAGAGAGAACAAATTGTATTTATTCAGACCACCCCAAACCCTCTCCAGCCCCTAACACAGAATCTGTACTGAGTATATAAGAACAGCAGAGAAAGCCTGATCCAAAGGGAACAAGTGGCTTGCCCATGTCTGGCCATGTGATTCTTTCTTAGACCATAATTCCTTCTACAGAGAAATTATTTACATTCCTTTTTGAATGGTATAATTTGTTTACGAGTGTTTGTTTTCCTTCTTTTTCTTCTCTCTCTCTTGCATTCTCTTTCTCTCCCTCTGTCTCACTCCATTTCCCCTCTATTTCTTTCTTTTTTTTTTTTTTAAAAGATGAAGTGTTGAGTTGGAATTTAGTAACTGCAGGTTCATTTGAAAGAAGTCCATTTTTGTTCAAGGCCTGGATACTGGCAACATGTTGTAACAAAATAATATTTGAGTGTTTTGTGACTAAACATAAGAAATTGTGTGTTGTGACCTAAGGTGAAATGCCGAAAGCCCTTGAAAAGTAGCTACCGGGAAAGTAGCAGACTGAAAACGCTGTTAGCTTTATAGATTCATTTCTGGAATCTCAGTGCAGTTTCATATCCTGGCCTTTCAGCTGGATCGTAAGTATAAGGCGAGACTTGACTGAGGCAGAGTACACATACCGAAGAGGCCCACTGAGAACCCACAGAAAGCCGCTTAATATCTTTCTTAGCAAGTTGAAAGTAGGTCCGTCTTCAGTTTTAATTCAGAATATTTGAAATGTTTCTTCTTGCTGGCCTTACTCTAAAATAACAGAAAAAGTATTGACAACAATATAACATGACTTTCCTCAAAAACAAAAGGATAGTGTTGTGGTCCAGAAATTATAAAGAATTCCTAAGAAAATCACAGAACAGAGGGAATGGACTGCATTGTCAAGGTGACACCCGAACTGCACAAGGAGGAGTGTAGAACGTATAACCACCACAGACGGAGCAACGCTGATGGGGCCAGAGCCTCCAGCTTCAAAGCTAGAGGTTGTGGAAGCCACCAGGAGGGGCCCAGAAGCAACAACCAGATGATGACCTGCCCTGGGATTGGCAAGGAAGGGTGAGCCATGTTCCGTGGCCCCGATCACTGCCGCGGCATACACCAGACACAACAACCAGGATGTGGTGATAGCACCAGGTTTTCCTTTAGGTGACAATTATCATTGAGGATGCTGTGGCAGAAAAAGAAGGGAATGTCCTTAAAGCACAGTGTCACCAGAAAGAAAGGGAGACCATCTACCTCCAAAGGATCTGCCATCAATGTATCTCTCGTCATATTCCTCTTCCTCCACCTCCACTGAAAAAATTGAGGAATCCAAGCCCAACCCCAGCTGGACATCTCACCAGCCACACTAGATATAAACAACACGAGGTGGAGAACAGAGTTATGCATATACAAATGTGATGAAAAAAATAAAATGAAAATATACTTAGATTGGGATTAGAAGAAAAAATACAACCAATTCAAGAAGAAAAATTAACTAAATAGAAAAAAATTGTTTTTACAGGTACCAGGAGCTATAAACCATGTGAAGTGGACTCAATAACAAAGAGCGAAACAATGAGGTGATATGGTTTTTATCCATAAAATACTTATGGTTATTATCCATAAAATATTATGGTTTTATGAAAAGAAAGATTTCAGAACTTAGAATACTTATTGAGAACATAAACAAAGTTAATATAATAATTAATGATAAACAGAAACCATATAGAGTTTCATATCACGTTACTTACAAAGAAGAACTATACATAGTAAAGGCTAATAAAAAGACACAGCAATGAAGACAGTGGAAAGAAGCTAACTGATACAGAAAGCAAAGACCATCAAATGTGAAGATAATTGGAGCATCTGAAGAAAACTCAAAAGTATAGTAAAAAATGTATATAAAGACAGCAAAAAATATGTTCTAGAAGCAAAAATTGAATCTGAAAAACAAGAGAAAGATTCTGGGAAAGTTTGATTCAACATGCTTGACATTGGACTATACTCTTGTTAAATTATTAAAATTCAGAATTAAAGGGAACTACTGAAGCATTTGGCAGAGAAAGAAAATATTTCATAAGGGAGAAAATATAATAAAAGGCTGGTACAGAATGTTCCATAGAAATATCCAAAGGTGAACTATATCTGCAAAGTACTGAAGGGAATTGTTATCCCCAAATGGTATCCTGGCTAGTACTTTATTTACTCATAAAGGCAACATAAACATAAAGATACTCTCAAATATGAAAGAGCTGGAGAAATCCAATGACCATGAGCTACCCTGATAAAGATTTTCTGTTTTGTTGGTTAGGGAAGGATAAGATGAAAATGAGAACTAAGAACTAAAAGAGACCACACTAAAGGATTGCTGGTGAGCAATGACTCCTTTCAGTACAGAGCTAGGAGTCAAAATGTTATGAGAATTACAGCCACTGAACAAACCATTTTGGCTTATATGGAAATAGAGATATGAAGCTAAACATGAAATCTGAAGATCAAGAAAGACCAGATTCTAGGAAAATCCGATGCAGTATTGTCGAAATAGGAACTGTAAAAAGATAAACTTAAGGCACATTAACATTTGGAAGAGTTTATTTGAGAGGACAGCAATTTATGAATCAGGCAGCATCAGATGACAAGAGGTTCAGTGCTCCTTGGAAGGGGGTGACCAGAGTGAAACTTCTAAAATGTCCACAGAAGTAGACACAAAAAAATGTTTGATTGGTAGAGTGGAGACTGAGTCCCTAGTTAGAGGTTAGTTGGCAGTTTCTGATTAGCAAAGTCACTAGTTTCATTTTACTGTTTACACTGAGAACACAAAGCACTGGATCCATCCAGCCTAATGACCTGCCAATGAAAAACTCTTTTAACAGAACATATTCTGATTAAATTATTGAAATGTAAAGGTAGAAAGCATCTAGGTGTGATAAAATAGGAAAAGGTGGAACCTCACGGGAATTGGGGAGTGCATTCCCTGTTCAAAGTAATTGAAAAAACATTTAAAAGACACGGTTGCTCCAATGAGACCTAGTGATCCCTACCATAGGTAGACAAGGGTAAACAAAGGAGCATACTTAGTGTACCCAGAGTGGGCACATGGTGCTGGTGAGGATTCAGAATGGAGGTTAGCAGGGCAAGAACGCTTTCGGTAAGTCACCTAGGTCCTTCAATTCCGTGTCACCATTTTGCACGGACCCTGCCCTGGCTTCCGTGTTCTCATATTTGAGAACCTGTAACCTAGACTCTCTTGGGAGGATTTCCTCAGGGTGTCTGGAACTTCTTTGCTCTCCTTTGCAGAGAGCTGGACACTAAAGATTGCTGGTGAGCAATGACTCCTTTCAGTACAGACTAGGAGTCAAAATGTTATGAGAATTACAGCCACTGAACAAACCATTTTGGCTTATATGGAAATAGAGATATGAAGCTAAACATGAAATCTGAAGATCAAGAAAGACCAGACTCTAGGAAAATCTGACGCGGTATTGTCGAAATGGGAACTGTAAAAAGATAAACTTAAGACACATTAACATTTGGAAGAGTTTATTTGAGAGGACAGCAATTTATGAATTAGGCAGCATCAGATGACAAGAGGTTCAGTGCTCCTTGGAGGAGGGTGACCAGAGTGAAACTTCTAAAATGTCCACAGAAGTAGACAC